AAAAATTGACTTCTTTGTTGGACTCACATAAACAATGTAAAAATAATGTTTTTTTCCCCCTAATTTCAAAAGTCTGTACATAGAAACAATTACTGGAAGGACATGCATCAAACTATGCCTGATTTTGTAAAATTAAATTGAATAATTTATTTTTTATTTTAGTGCCTTTCTGCTTTCTGTTTTATAAATCCTTTTTTTCCATGAGCATGCAGTTAATTATAATTAGAACACATGTATTTTAGAAAATAATATGTTTGTGGTAGAAGACCTGAAAGTTTAGGAACATGTAAAATGCATTAGTAGCAAGTCAACCACATTGTCGAATACCTCTGTCTTTGGATCCTAATCCCAGTAATTAGGGCTGTGCTTTTTCTTGGGACAACCCTCTCCATATATCTGGTTCCAAGTAGTTTTCCAGAAACCCTCTATTGATAGCACACCCAGTTCAATCCTTCCCCTTCATCTAGGACCCGATTATTGGTAGCTAAGTGTCTATCTGCCTGCTCTACATGCTAAAATTAAAAAAAAAAAAAATTCTTCTCTCTTCCCATTAATTCAGTTTCTAACGGTGAGCTACAGAGCTACAGACTTTCCTTTGCTATGGTCCCCTTGTTTTCTCAGGCCATGCATTTATCCAGTGCTTCTTGCTCTGTCTTTTTTGCCTCATTCCACAAAAGTCCTATATTCTCTGTCCTTATAATCTGGTTTGAGCAGGTGTAATTTTGCTGCTAAGAAAGCACCTTTTTTCCTCCACGAAGTCATATTCCCCTAAGACGTAAGAATTCCATCTTATGAGATGTATTTTTGCATGCCTTCCCCAGCTATTAATGTCTTCTGTTTCTAAGCTAATCATCATTCAATCTCCTACTTTGCTGGAATAAAGAATGTTCTCATATGCCATTTATTTTGCAGTAATTTTCAGCTTTGATAAACATATGCCCCTATCCCAAAAGTCAAGAATCAAAAAGACTAATATTATCATTTCCCTGGGGATGTATTCCCTCTAATGAATTATGTGATGTTATCCTCCAGTACCTATAGCTTTTAAATGTTGGTATTTATTTTAATGTACCATTTAATTGATTTTTAATCTGCTGTCTAGTAAATTTTCTATGTTTCTTATTTTTTAAAATTAGTTTCACTCTTCCTTTGCATGAAATGGATCATGGCTCTTTAATAAAATCAAACCAAACCTTTCAATGAAACTTTCTCAGCTGTCTATTCAGAAATGTCTTTTATTCATTTTGTTCCAGAATATTTAATTTTTTAGCAAGTGTTACTTATATTTATTACTCCTACTATAGCTTACAGATTTATAGGACAGACTATATATAATTTCAATTCAATAAAAAGAAAGTGAACATAGGAGATTAGATAAAATACATTTATTGTTTGCTTAAGCTTGAAATATGTGGATAAGTTTATGTTGAAAAATAACCTTTTCCCCAGCTCTGCTTTCTAAAGTCATTGGTTTTTCTTACTTTTCTTGTGTTCAGCATCAGATTCTTCTATTCCTACCTGATATTCCATTGAATTAAACTAATTATTTCCACCCCTACTAAGACAAAAAACAGATTGCCTGATGCAATTACAAATATAGCTCAATTCCCTCCTTAGTTTTTCAGATAAACAACAAATGCTATATTAAACACACCCACCCACCCACACACACACAACTCCTACCCCTCAGCCCAGATAGAACAGGATACTCTATCTGTGGACAGCTGATGGAAAATCTGTTAGACCAAGGATAATTCAATTCACTTTAATAATATTGAAGATACCCACTCTGCTTGTCAATAAAGGGGAGGTGAAGATGAATAATACATGCTCCTGATTCTCAAAGAACTCTCAACACTTTACTGCAAGACATCTTCATTATGAATTGAAGCCAAGAGATTTACTTGGCTCAGGCTATCTTTATTGAAAAGTGATGGATCTAGTTTTCTATCTGTATAAATCCTAACACTGGAATCTTCTGCTTGATTAATTCCCATATTTGACCATACCACATCTGTGTAGGTTCACTTGAAGTATAAGAGCTTTGGACTGACCAGACCCCCATGTAGTAGCAAAGATGGATCTCACCATTCAAAGTTAGAAAAATGTTTAGCAAAGCTTAACTTCCTGGTAGGGGACCTCCCAGTACCATTACAAAACATATTCTGGGAAAACATTTAGTGAGGGGAATGTGCTAATGAAGGGAAATATGGTGTCACCATACTATGGAATTGAAAAATAATAGAGAGTTGGGTATTTCAACACTGAGAAGATTTTCTGAAATGAAATTTAAGGATGATATAAACGCTTTTCTTCTTGCATTACTTGACAGCTAGGCTCCTACAGGATTTATATAAATATCTATTCACTATGCATCAGGTAATTGTGTAAAATTGCTTGTAAATGCAGCCTCAGAGAGTGCTGGCCTATCTCTTAGGAAAGTCACTTACACAGAGGGATATGAGAAGCTTAGAGAAGGACTACTCCAATAAATTCTCTTTTGTATAGACCCATGTTTATTTTTTGTTTTTTGTTTTTTTGAAAATCCACCATTAATACTAATACTTACTATTTATTTAGTCTTTTGAAGTCTATAAAGTACTTTCATTACCATTATATAATTTGATCTTTAAAATAATAGCACGAGACAGGCAGGGTAGAGGAGGAAAGTGAGTCGTGGAGACTTTACATCTCTTTGTAGATTACAGAACTCATAAGTGGTAGAACATTTATTCATTTTGCAGAAAACAAAACAAAAAAAGTTATTGTATACCCCTACTGTGTGCCAGGGACAATGACAGGCACTGTTTAGGCACTAAGAAGAGAAAGATACATGATGCTTGCCTAAAGAAGCCCATTTTTAAATATCATGTGATCAAACCTATACTAGAGAGATCAGGTCTCTTGGCTTCTCACTCAGTGGATTTTTCCACCCCACCAGTGGCTTGTCATCAGAAAGTGCTTCCATTTGCCATTAAAAATTATTTCCCTCTGGGCCGGCCCGGTGGTGCACTGCTACAGTGCACCACTTGGGAGCGCAGCGGCGCTCCCACCGAGGGTTTGGATCCCACGTACAGACCGGCCGCTCACTGGCTGAGCGAGGTGCGGGAGCAACACTGAGGGTTGCAATCCCGTTGCCGGTCCCGGTCCGGTACGGGCGCGACACTGAG